CGCCGATAATTTCGGTCTGACGTTACTGTCTATTTCTCCTACCACGAAAGTCGGCGAGAAGGCATTTAGCTTAGTTTCTCGATATTCATTTCGTCATCGACGCATCGATACATCTGACTTCGCGAAGCAATGACTCAAGCAATAACAAAAACTTATTGCGTCTTTTCCATATTTCTTATATATCTTCATAATATAAAAATATCGGTTAACATATTTCAACAAAATCACTTTTCACCTAATTCCATATGAAATATTTATATGACTAGACACTACAGACGCGCGCTACGCGCGCGCTATTTATCTTTAACATTTCACTATTAACCCTATTATACACAACTGTCAAAATATACAATGACAGCTGCAAATGAAGTAAGCGCAGCAAGAAAACCAATCGGCATCGCGGAAAAGCGGCAACAATAAACTTCACATCTCCTTTTTAGAAAAGGACTTAAAAGCTCACTTTTGTTCTATTTGATCTATTGTTTTAAATACATTTTTATACGTGTATATCAGAAAAAATTTAATGCTTTATTATTAATTTTAAATATTTTACACACTATCTATTATTATTACGGTCTATTATTATATTACACTATGTAATATTATTACATCAGTGCATAACAATACAAATTTTGCAAAATAAAAGATCGTTAAAATAAATCCGTAAAACACGCAATAAAATTAGACATTAATATACATCCAATTAAATTTCAAAATTAAACGTTTTCGTATTAATTGCGACTTGAAAGTGGGCTACGGAAATTTATGTGCAGGTTTCAGCGTTTCTCTCGACGCATCGACAAAGGAAACCACTGCGTGCGTGCAGAAAAATGTGAAACGCGTCTCGCGTTTCTGCCGCACGTTTTGCCGGCATAAAATGCAACTGGTTCGCACGAATGCGTTCCTCGTCGGCGCGGCGTTTTTGAGGATATTGCACGTATGAACGAGCCTTAAAGAGTCCTCTCGTGTCCTAAGGTGAGACAGGGAAAGTGAAGGAGAGAAAGAGAGAGAGACGGAGAAAAAAGAACAGATGCATTCCAACATGGGAAGGTGGGATGGATCCGTCTCTGATAATCCGCCCATTGGAATGCGTACCTCGTACACCTTGGTGTATTCTCCCTCTCAGTTTCACTATACACACGAGTGCATCTACCTACCCGCACAAGCACACACAGGCACAGATACACACCTCGCGCATATTCGGCAGTTATTTTTAGAGCAATTCTAACAGGCGGACATGTGGTAGTATTCCGGACGCAATAACTGACATCCGGGAACTTATTCGTCGCGTAAATCGCGAGATCGGATTTATGGTGGCATTGATTACGATCTAATTTAATTGTTCAATTGTTGTGATTTCCCGATTATAGTATGTAGAACAGGCAGAATGCATTGCAAACGTAAAAATCTATATGAAAGCGAATTCGATCCGTTACATATTACATTTAAACAGAGAGAAGTGCGAAAATAAAGATTTATTGCAATTTACCTCCCTTCGAAGAATAAATATGAAGAAATTAATAAAAACTCCGTATTCAAAAATTTACAATTACCTATACAAGTTCGAATCATGAGTCAAGTTACAAGTTCAAGGTGTACTTGTAAAACGATTTCTTTTAATTCCCTTTAATTCGTTAAACCTCAGAATACAGGAAGGGGGAGGCATGAGTAATTTCTCGATACTTTACGATCTACGTTTCGCGGAAACGATCGTACAGCACCTCCGAAAGCATTCCTTCGCGCGTTCATTCATCGGCCCTCGCCGCAATTATTTGCTGAATGGAAACGATCGCGGCCGCGGGACGACACGGCGCGACGTGTCGCGTGCATCGGAATGAGCTTTTGATGCACCTTGATGCATTCTACCTCTCGGCCGCCGCTGCGACTCGCGATTGCGAGTGTACGTAACGACCGTAACGTGTTCGGGGAGGCCTATTTTTAGACCGGTCCAGGACTATTTTTAGAAGCGGTCTGCCCACCGGCAGCTTAACCCTGACTTACGTCCCTATGTCTTCGTGGACACCGCAGGGACACCGCGAAGGCGAAGATCGGTGGACCATTAAGCGGCATCAGCCGAAAGACACACGGTCGCCAGGAAATGAGCAACGCGCGAAACGCGCGGCATACTTTCTGGCCGCGCTCATCTGGATTTTTAACATTCAACCCGTCGCCGTTGAAGCGTGCAAGTTTATTATCGCGCGGTTGTTATAAATGATGATTCATACATTAACGATAACACGTACCAAAGGCGAGATTAATACTAATTGCTTATTCACATCAGACTTTTTAACGACGTAAAAGTGTACTTTCTTCAATCTTATGTCGCTTTACTTCTTTTTCTCTCTCTCTCTCTCTCTCTCTCTCTCTCTCTCTCTCTCGATTAAACACTTGTCAATGACGAAGAACGATGATGTTTTGGAAAGTGCACGTACTACAATACAGGTATGATCGTCGTAATCGTAAAGATCTAACCGTGAAGATCATTCCGAAGTCATGGTGCTCTAGATCGCCGGAGTTTATCGAATCGAAGACGAGGTTGAACAGTAAAACTAGGTATTACGATCACACAGAGCGATGACGCAAGCTTGCGAGCTTCTATTTGCGGCAACACTACACGCGTAGATCAAACTGCTCTTTCAAGCTCATGTTCTGATTTCGCGTTGTTGGTGTGACGTTCCGCGCGAGTGTGTCGAAAGGAGTAAAAATCACGAGATTAAACAGCAAATTTTAACATAAAGAGAATTTGATATCAAGGAGATCTCAGAGAAATCGTAACTTTAATGAGGAAGATTAATGAAAAACCGGGAAAGTAACAGACGCGAGATTTTCAAGCGTAGCATGTATATAGAAGCTCGTATATTCTTGAAAGTGGCATTTTTATGGTTATAGGCCCTTCCACTTCCTTCCATTCGACAGAGAGACTTAGTTCTCACTAAGTAAGAGAACGTAAAAACTTTCTTAATAACTTTCGAAACTCGCAAAGATTAAAGCAACACTTTCTGTGTATACATTAGAATACGACTAATTTAAGTAAAAATAATGAACTTATCCAAATATATTCATTTCACAGAATATATTGCTTTTTAATATTGTCTACACATTTGCGAGATGACACAACATGTTACAACCGATGCTATTACTAATTAATCGTTTTTACTTTATTATTATAATTTTTAAAAAGTATAAATTAATCATATGTATTCTTGTTCTTGATCTTGAGCTTTAAGGAAGCACATACTGTATAACGCCTCCGATAAATTACATATACTTTTATATAATATATCACGGCCCTTCTAAGTATTTATTATTAAACTGTTCGCCACACAAAGCAACGACTTTGGAAATCTTAATACGCGAATTGCGAATAAGCAATCATGAGAATTCGCTGACGTAATTCCCTTCGTTTGTAAAAGCGGTCGTCGCATATTTGCGATAAAATGCAAAATATATGTATATCGTGTCATATTTCCAATTCAACTGCCTACGAAGTAACCCACTTTTCGAGAAGGAGACGAATGAAATAAGATCTAGGTATTCCATCTGGATATGTTTTACGGGAAGACGGTTGCTCCTGTCGCGCGACTCGCAATAAAAATAACGGCGATATATTATGAGACATATTTATAGAAAGAGGACTCGTGCCCACCCTCGCGCGATCGTCTACAATTGGGTCAAAGCCCATTAATTATTTCCGATATGCTCTGCCAGAATATTGAAGAATTACGGCCGACTCGATAACGAACCGCTCGCGTGCGCGTTTTCTCTCGTTGCTCGATCATTGTATCTGTCGTACATCACGTAATGTGTCTGTTTCGCGTTCGGTGATTAATTCTTTAAATTACTTTGTTGAACATGATGCTACGAAATCAGTACAATATGTAAAAGTACGAGAAAATATAACGATACATTTTAATTCTTTGAGATAATTAAATTCGATTGTCGTCTCAAATCATTTTCGTATTCCTAAAATATATAACATATATATTCAATCTTTTTCTATATTCAACAACATAAAATTATTTATTTTTAATTTTCTACACATAAAGTATCAAAATTATATCGCTTGTACCGATAAAGCACCCGATAAACTATTTAAATAAAATTTGAATTAGATAATATTATATACTTCTTTACATCAATAATATTCAGTTAGTGTAGATAAGTTCCTCGCTACACTGAGAAAAAAATGTTGTAAATTTGACTAAACTCGTTTAGTTGTAGTGATTTGTTTAATGCAAATATTAATATATTTAAATCAAATATACGTGAGTAATATCAAGAAATTCTGAATCTATTTAAATATAATATTTTTTGAATTGACAAATGTTAGCTTGACAGCCCGTGACCGCTGCATTTAGTTGAATCAAATAATATTTCTTTGAATCTACGATTTTTTTTTCTCAGTGTAGGTTTTTAAATCCTGATTATATTTCGACACACAGAAGGTCTTTGTTAATTTTGTCTTCATCATCATCGAGTCGAGTTCGTAATTAGCACGCTCGATAAGAACGCCGACGAAAGATCGCTTACAAAAAAGAACCGCTTGATTTTTTAATTGGGGTACTTCTGTTTTCCCTCAACGTTCTTCACCCCATCCTCCTTTTTGTCAACCGTCTCCCCGCCCCCTGACGACGACATCGTCTCTAACGTGAATGGATGCACAGTGTCCGACATTCGAGGCGTAATGACGCGCGTGCACTTAAATATAGTGGCTCTGGAGTCTGGACTTTGGAGAGGAGAGGAGAGCCTCTGACTCGGCGACGCGTCTCGTAAAAATAGACCCGAGATTCGAGACGAGAGTTTCAAAAGTTGCAGCTGATCAAATTCTTCTTTCATTAAGAAATGTATAAGAATAACAAGTTGATCTTCAGATCAACGTTATGCACTCAGCAAATATAAAAATGATATTTGTAATCAGAAACAATGACAGTAACGATGATAGTTTGTTAATCCAGATTTTTTTTTCGGCGTAAATGTAAGTTAATCTGCTTTGGTTGCAGGTTAATAGCGGCTCTCCGGCGGAAGCTGCCGGTCTTAAAGCTGGCGATGCGGTTATCAAAGTCAATACCACCGACATGTATAATTTGAGGCATAAGGATGCGCAGGATGTCATAGTCAAGGCCGGAAATAATTTCGAAATAACTGTGCAAAGGTGAGACGCTAAACACAACAAAGCGCGACAAACAAATAGATTCGGTATTTAAAAATATTACCGCTTCAATGATCTCAGTAGTTTATCAAGCATCTCAATGTTTTTAATTGGCTTTACCGCGTTAATCAGTCATCAGTAAAAATAATGCGTCATTATTGATTATTACAAAATTAAAGATTCTAAGCTAAGAAGAACTAAATCTCAATTTATATATAAAATCAATCCCCTCTTTCGCAATAACCGTTTAATTCTTCGTGTTTTATTAAACAAAAAAACTGCGACTGATGTATAATTCGAAACTCACCGCCGTCTTTTAACGGGCGATAAATTATCATTACAGAGGCGGTAGTACCTGGAAACCGCATGTGACGCCCGCAACCGCAAGCCTGCCGTCTCCGATGCACACCGCGCCCGCGGGTAACATCGCGCCAGTCACAAAGACCTCTTTGGCAGCGAAAAAACAGGACGGACCCCTAATCGGCGGCGGACACAACTTCAGCCCCAAGCCATTCGTTAGTATCGACCGTTAATCCGCGTGCCTGCGTCTGTTGCGCCGATCCTGCAACAAAAACACGAAAGGCAGTTAGTTATCTTATTTTTCTACACCGGAACTTAATAATTTTCAGCTGAACGGCACCGGCGACGGTCCAATTAAGTCCATCGTGAACAAACAGTACAACAGCCCCGTGGGGATTTACAGCGAGGAGACAATCGCGGAGACACTGTCTGCTCAAGCGGAGGTCCTTGCCGGAGGTGTCCTTGGGTAAAATCGCGAAACCGGATATAGGGAAGAAGGGGAATAGTCAGTGACGGGATTGAAATACTTGCTTTTTAAAATTATTTTTTTGATTAAAATTACATGATTAAGATTATATAATTTATGATCATTCAATTTATAATGAAAAAATATTTTTGCGAATATTAATTAAATACTACTGAAAGAGTCTATGAAGAAGGGAATTTTACGATATTAGAAATCGTCTAATTTATCAGCTGGTCGTATCAACAAATGTTAGTTAACAAATGATCAGTTAATTTTGCTGGCTGTCTTTATGAGCGTGAAATATATTAATTTATAAATACGAATATTGCAGGGTAAATTTCAAAAAGAACGAAAAGAATTACAATGCTGAGAACAGCGAGGTTTTCAAAATGGTCCAAGAAGCGGACAAGGAGCCAAGGACCCCAGAACCTGGTTAGTAACATTGGACATTATAATTTCTGAAGAAATTGAACATTAAAATTTATTAATACTAATATACATATATATAATTATTTCTATTATAACATTTATATATACATAAATGTTACATGAGATCGCTAAAGAACGTATATTACACAAAATATATGCTCATCCGTGTATCTTTAATATCACTTGTTAAAATCTAGTTAGTCTATGATGTAATTCAAACAACTTTTCCTATTCTTTGAAATATTGAATAACTTAAAAATTTTACAATATCAAATTTTTATGGTGAGATGTTTGCAAGTCAAATAATTTATTATTTATCCTGTTAATTATATGTTACTGTAACTGTAATCTCACGATTTGCAATCCATTAAGCATATATAAGATATTCTGCAAAATTACGTAAAAATAAGAATAGAGAGTAATCTATTTACGACTATTCTATATGAAACTTATCCACATTTATCTATCTGAGCTATCTTATCGATGCGTTCTTCGGCGATTGACGGCTGGGCCAGAATCGGTTCCAGCCAACCTGTTGCATGCCGATACGATAACTTGTTTGCGAAATAGCGGAGCCAAGTGCCGTGAGCGGCGTGATAACGCCATCCTCGCCCGCCCTGGCAGGACTGAGGCCCGTCCAGGCGCCGGAAACGAAGCCGCAGTCGCCGTCGACGCCGCAAACGAGCTTACCACCAGGACAGAACATTTGTGCCGAGTGCGAAAGGCTCATCGTGTAAGTTTACGTGACTCGGGGCGCGTTTTGGTCGCGTCTATTTTATTTTCAGAGGCTAGACACCGGCGCGAGAGGAGGTAGTGCCGACAATTACGATTGCATTCCACGACGACAACCACTTTCTCACTTGCGTGCGTGCGAGACGTATTGAATGTCGTGCGGATTTCCGATTCTCAGATTAAAGTACTTATCTCATGATAATACAGATTTGTTAGATTTATTAGATTTATATCGGTCTATTTAATATCTACATATATATTAGTTAATTAATTTTTAGATTTTTAATTCTATATTAAGTAACGTCTGCAAAAATCTCTTTTGAATTATTTAATAATCGTGTTTTAATCTGGGAATGCAGAAACTCGCACGGATTGGCGAACGCGATCGCCGAGGGGCTTCGTTGAAAGAGCAGTTCTCATTCTCCTATTCGACACTTTCCCGATGCTGCCCGGTTGTCATGGCGCTTTTTCTCTACTTCCATGTCGTAGTTCCTTCAAGGACAGAGTATTACTCCTCGGTGAGCCACGCGGTTGGCGGGAGGGCCACTTCACCGAGGTCACCTACGCCTCTGTTTCATGCTATGGGCGGTGATGGTAGCGCACCTGCTGATAGCAGGCACTTTGTATGGATGGACGAATCGTACGGAAGGAATCGAGAACCGCAACCGCAAAAGCAGGAATCTTCCGCCGGGTCGGGCTCGTCGACGCCGGGCGGGGTCGTTTGTAGCAACTGCGACCGAGTGATCGTGTAACTATTTGCGAGCGAGACTCTTGCCACCCTTGTGCACGAGACGGCCCACGGCGGGTTTCGTTTTGGCGTTTTCGAGATGTTCGCATTCGCATATTGAGAACGATACGATCGCGGTGCGACAAAATTTCTAGAAATTATTAACTGCACGGAAAGAACGGCTTTGCTGAAATATCTAATGTAGCTAGATACAGATCTAGAATAATTATAGTAGGTCGCTGAATGATGATAATGCTGTAAAACATTTTGACATTTTAGCAATCAGTTTGAGTGTTCTACATAATTATTTTAATGGTGCAACAAAATTATTTTCACCGTTCTTTCCGTGTGTATAATGATCCACAGATTCTCCTAGTTTATTAATAGTGATAGATATTTAAAGGTTAAATGTGTTCATCAAAATCGCTTGTTTTTTTTTTTATTATAAAGCTCTTTGTTAATTACAAATCTGTAAAAATGTTAATCAACAAAGTATTAATAAATTTATCGGGTTTTGATGAATTAAACTTCAATTAAAATGGCTAATACATAGATAAAAATTGTAGGGGGTTAATGAGATATTTTTCTCGATTAGCATATTTTAATAATATTAGTCTGTGTAGAATATCAGTAATATGCGTGCATAGTAGAAAATAATTTATAATTTAATAGACATAATTCTCATAACCTTGTCGTTCTCAGTTGGCGATTTATGCGCCTCGAATGATCGTCAAAAATTCCCGAAAACGATGCCGTTCTGAATTGCTCGATTGTCGTATGCTAGTATCATCTTGAAGATTTCGATTCGAAGAAAACGCGTGCACGTCTCTTTATTTCTATATATTGTATTTAATTTATATATAACATTATAAAAAATAGAATTATCAGGTAACAGTAATAGCCCGATAATAAATGCGAAATAAAAATTAAATTAAACTATAAATGAGTGGTATTGCGTAGAAATTGCATAATTTGTAGAAATTAATTTACGCGATAAGAGACGTGCACATTTGTCTTCTTGATGAATTCGAAGCACGCCTTTCTCTGCCACCTCTTTTCGTCAATATCGCTTCTTCAGAAAGAGCGAATACTTCGATGGTTGCGCATTTTTATTATCACTGTTATCTCTCGCTGGGCGAATTTTCGCTGGTCATATAAGTATATAATCATTCCAGCTTACAGCTTACAACCTACTGGAAGTCGTATCTGGGGCGAAACGAAAGTTTCTTATTCGCTCGCAGCTTGAACGCAGCCCTATCTAAATGTCTTCTCTTTTACTCTTTGCACTCTTAATAGCACCTTTCGCGCATTTATAGCACACTGAATGACTGATAGTAACGTATACAAAAAAAAACTGCTTTCGATGTTGTAAACATTACTGTGGATTTTTATTTTTGTCGTATTTTTTTTAACCAAATTATTTTTGCGATATTTTTTTCTCTTTTTTTCTGTGCTCGATGATCAGTAAAAAATAATTTTTTTACGCGAAGAAATGTACAGACAATATTTTACGACAAAAACATTTAAAACTTTATCTTTTATTATTTTTTTGCAAGCATTATAAAAGTTATATTAAAATATATCAATTTTTTCCCCTAAAGAACAGGTCGTAATCTTGATTATGTAAGGAAATACACATTATTACGAACAATATTACAATCACAACATTACACTACACTTTCAAACATTCATACATATTATGATCTACCCAGTTTTGAATATCAGTTATTTTTTACAGCGTTATATTTTTCAAGATATTTACTCCCGTTACAGAAATCAATTCTAAACACGTTCTTTGTAGCTTTATTCGTTTCATCGCTCTCATTCGAATATAATTCTCACGGAGATCACAATATAAATAATAGTTATTCCCTCCTTCGTCGAGGTATCGAGTTTCTTATGTTTCCTTCCTCTCTTTTTGAACTCGAGTGAATAGCAATAAAGTTAAAAACTCGTGGCACATCCGATGCGCCGTAATCTCGCCGTTTATTGTTATTTATTGTTACATTAAGGAAGATTAATTACTGCATTGGGATGTAAAATAAACGTTATTAATTTACTTATTCTCCCGCAGAGGTGTCTTCGTCAGGATCAAGGAAAAGAACCTCCACGTGGAGTGCTTCAAGTGCTCGACCTGCGGCACGTCCTTGAAGAATGTCGGTTACTATAATATCAACAATAAATTGTACTGCGATATCCACGCGAAACTCGTCGCCAGGCAAAATGCTCCGGCTGGTCTTGCACCCATCACTATACCGCCGTAAGTTATACGATATTATAGTACTTATCTTACACGTTACACGCTTGAAAAGCTTAATACAGAATTTCATAAAAATAAAGACAAAAATAAGGATATAATAAATATATAAGACATAAATAAAAATAAAATAGGGATAACTGTGTAAACGCGAGTAAGTTGGGATGATATTGAAATGCAGATAATTGACAAGATGTATCTTTTGCAATTCGACAGAGGTGGCAAAGCACCAGCTAGTACCATTAGCGCGGCATTGGCGAATGCACCTTTATCGCCACCCCTCAGCAATCACGGATCGTCGCCTCAGCCATTCTCCGTGAGTTGCTTCATCATAATTTGATTCTCTTTACGAGGCATGGTCACGGACGGACTTTTTCGCGCACGCATTTTCTTGTTGTGCCCGTTTTGGCATGGCTTATGAAAGCGAGTATTTTGCATTGAGCTGTGTGGCTTTGCTGCACTCGCGTCTGATTTCACGGAATTTCTTACGATCGCGAGTCTCGCGAAGGTCGCGCGGCGAAATTTCTCGGGCATTAACGATTTCTCTCTTGAAACACGCGGCGGAAACACTAGCCATACAACCTCTAGTTTAAAAGATTTAAATTTGATAATAATTTTAGCGATTAAATAGTAAGAGAGCTTGAAAGAATATACATATCGTGTATCGAATAATCGAAAATATCTCCGCGACGTATTTTGAACACCGAGACATTCGCATTTATTTCTTTTACATTCTTATAAAATTTGAAAAACTTTTTTTTATAATAAATAATAAGATACTTGATTATTATAAATTCGCGATGATCGCGCCGCGTGCCGCGAAAGATCTGTTTTCGGCGAGCGGGACGCGCGCTTATCTTGAGAGTTTAACAAGTGTGGTCCTTGCTTGGCACTAATCGCTTTTCCAGGCGTGCAATCGTACGAGCCCCGATTCCGGATCCCAGCGTACGTGGCGATCAGCTTCGAATACGAACGGATGCATCAGGAACGGCGAGTGCAACGGCGAGTCGAAAACGTTCACGAGCACGATCACCATCCAAACAGGTGGCACAGAGGTTGGCAACGTGCTCGAAAACTCGATCTCTGCATTCGCTCACGCTAACGTACTTTTCATCGTGATTCCCTTATGTAAATGATCATCAAATAATCACTAAGCCAAACTGACGTAATCGAGATGAAATATTATAAATGTAGTATTTCGTGATATGTTACATTTATGTACAATATTACTATATCATAAAATATTGCATTGTGATATAGTAAATTAAATGTTACAGGCATCGGTGTCTTAAATTATATTATGACGTAATATTGTAGCATAAAATTTCTAGCATAATAGAGAAATGATATGTATACGAAATACAGACATAATTGATTACTTTTCATATCTATTAACTGATACGCAGAACGAGAAACGTATCGATCTGAAAATTTTTGTTAATGACCAATACGCTAACGATCATCGAAGAGTCATCTATACTGAATCAAATATTATTACGAAACCGATTAATTAATCACTGGTTTGTTATTCACCCAAAGTGTCCTTGAATCAGTTGACTGCCTAGTTAAATTAATCATCATCTTCGCGACCGACTATTTCGAACTTGTGACTAATTAGCCTGTCGTAAGCGGGACCGTTTCTCTACTGATTCGTCTTTTCTCCCTCACGCTCTCCCGTCCTCTCTCTCTCTCTCTCTCTCTCTCTCTCTCTCATACACACACACACACATCTTGTTTTTAATCGTTCGTCCCACGTGACATCGTTGTGTCGTTTTGTGCATTGCAGCCCACCACCCGCCTTGGCATCCCGCCTGTCGATTCACCCAGCTTACGATCAGTCCAGGTAAAGTCCCAGCACGATTCGTAACGCTCTCGTTTATCTCGATCGCTCTTCATCGTTAGTATATAATTTATTTCATAAAAATGGACAGCGTGTGAAACGTTGCTTCGACTCAACGCCGCGGAAATTAAATCGAATTTTTGTCATAGAAACTGTATCAAGATGACAATTATAAAGTGATGTTTTACCAGTGCGATTGAAAATCGTTGATCTTGGAGCCTTTACATAATATATGAAAAATATGAAAAATTAAGTTTTAAACTGCTAAACTGTTTTTCTCTTTGTTATGTATATATTAAATTTTCAATTGATTGAAATCTAAATTCAAAATTGGCATAATGTAAAACGTAATGGCATTTTAGAGCAATTAGTCAATGTAAAGATATGCTCGCTTTAATTTACTTTAAAATTGACTAAAATTGTTCTATTTGCAGAAGAATAATAATTTCTAAAACTAATGATTTTTTAAATATATTTTTAAATATAATTTTATGATTTTAAATAAATAAAAATTAAAATTTTTTAAATGGGTAATTATCTTCATATCATGATGAAGTATCATGGAAATATTTTTGATCATGTATACACGCGGGCACACGTGCAGCAATTAATTATCCCCCAAAATTTCATGTGCTGATAATTAAATTGTATGCAATTGTTTGCATGACCTCCATAGCTGAAATAACGGTTTTAAGCACGGGAGGAGTACAATGTTCCTTCCTTGAGACTTCGCGCGATATGGGTCACTGATTAACCTATCGTACTTTTGCATTAACAGGCGTTATCAAGGCAGCGAAATCTCGCATGTTCGGCTATATTTGGCACTGACAACCTTTTGCAATCTGTTAATTCTGTGGTTGTAATTTTACTTTACGCCTCATCTCTCTTGACGACAGATTTCATTTTATTTTATTTACTTGACTCAAGAATTATCAATATCCAAAACAAGAAAATAATAACTGATATAAAATAAATTACTATATTAAAATATTATAAAACATCTTATTTCTCATCATATAAAAATTACACGAAAATCTGTATTACGATAATAGCAATTAAAGAGAAAAATTTGTGAATTTATAGGCACCAACGAGCAACAGTCTCATTGGTCCTAAGCCCTTCGGTGGATCGAGTGGCTTTCCATCGAGTGGCTTTCCATCGAGTCTGTCTCCGACTCCGACATTGAATTCCGGAAGCAGTACCTTGCCACGCCCTCAAAGCCAGACTGTGACAGGTAAGTCGATCTTATTATTAATATGAACAGGTTCGATGTGTAAACTTAAAAAATTTCAACAGCACAAGAGTGACGAAAACTCGTTTATCTTTATCTGTATATTTTGTATGTAATTCAGATTACATAATATCGCATTAAAAAAATATCGCAAATACAAGAAGACGAATAAAGGTAATGTGTGATGATGTTAATTAAAAAATTTTTAAAGATGTATCAAAATCTATATTTTTTGTCACAAGTCGAAATATTCGATCCGCCGAAATATTTATTCACGACAACGGATAAATAACAGATAATTTTGTCGCCCCTTTTCTTCATCTTTTTTTTTTATTCGGAGAACCTGCGTCGATTTTACGCAGTTATCTTCGAGAAGTTCGAAGGAGCGATCTCGTAATCGATTTAAGATAATTGTGGTCTCGTCTTGTGCGTCCGTGGCCTAACTCTGCCTTCGATTCTTGCAAATAGGTCGGTACTCTACCCTGCCAAAGCCAAAAAGTTCGCCTTTCAGAGGTACGACGAATAGATTAGAGCCGCCGGTTGACCGAGTTTCGAGCTTTGGCTGATACGCCTCCTTTGGCTTACGTTCTCACATTTTATATCGCTCTTTCTCCCTTGCACGCAGCTCGTATATACACACGTATCGTATCATTATATCGAACAATCGATCGATCATTGGTCCTCGCAGTATTGGTCGTCTGTATCGTAATGGTTTCTTTAAATAGCAATAGAGAGAGAGAGAGGAGAAGAGGTCCTCTCTCAGTTTCGATCGTCTCATTTCTTGGCTCCTTATCATTCGTCGTTATCTCGACGACGACGGCGAACTCTGAGAGCTATGACAGTTTGTAGCGACCTTCCAATATGCGTTTTCATCCCTTTCAACTTTCATACTTTAAAAACTTGCACGATGCACTCGAAAAATTATTCAAAAGTTAGTATCTTAAGTTTATTTGGTATACCATGAGAGAAAAAGTTTAAATTAGGAATCGTTTGTAATAAAATCAGTAATTTAATATTTAATACTATGATAATACTTAGCTGTACATTGAGAAAATAAATGTTTTCTTTTGTAATCTTTTTTCTCTTTAATAATTTTTATATAATTTCTTTTCTAGAAAATTTATACAATATTTATTTTAGATTAAAAAATACTTAGTGTTATTTTCAAAGAAATATGTTACTAATTTCAACATAGAAATATTATATTTCTATATAAGAACATCTAGCAACAATTTTTTCTGGAAAATAGGAATCAATTCCCATGTCTGTTCGTGAAATTTGACCGTGTGTTATCGTGCCTCTCTTTCCGCGCATAATCTTTCTTTTATCTTTTTTCAGCCGGTCCGTCTTTCAACCCGAAACCCAGACCCTTCTCCCTCACATTCGCATGAATCAATAGCTCTCAATGGCGCCGTCGTCGTCTTCATGCTGGCAACCGAAATGCAAACACGATCAAGATGATAAAAGTGCCAGACTATAAACACTTATTTTACTACTCACGATTTTTCTTTCAAGTTTTTTTTTTAGAAAGTTTTTAACATTTCTCGATAATTAGATAATATGGATAAAAAAAATCCATAATTATTTTAATATATATTTATCAGTTGATCAATAATATTGCAACACTTATTATATTATATTCCAATAATGTTCGGAACGGTTTCTGTTTGATCTCTTCCGAAAAAAAAAAATCGTGAGATAGCACACTGACTTAACAATACTTCTAAAGCGTTACTTGATGACAGTTTATCAAGGTGTTGAATAAATAAATGCAGATGCAAAATAAAGCATAAGTTCTTCATTGAACGAACAACGAACGCACGTCTACTTTGGTTTTTTTTTTTACTGCGTCACATCATTTAATCGATACTCGCCCATGAATTGACACTTGCAGGATTTTTCTTCGCTTCGCATCGATAATTTCAAATATTTGGGATGTATCAATGCTAATACGCATTGTTATTGTAGAATCTTTTTGCTACTGTCGACCGTTCATGAAAGCGACGTTTAACACAAGAAGGCACGCAGCTTTTCACGCTGCTCTATTTAAAGTATTGAGTGTTGAGTGATTATCAAGAATGCACATTTGCCGATTTAGATAATAATGATTAAAGAAGATCTTTTCACAAAGACTAAATCTTTAATTAAATGCCATATGATTTTTGCTTCTTTTTCTTAATTTTGCGTACCGGGCTGTGCTCGTGGTCCTCTTCCGTCGAAAAAAATCACCAGATTAAATAAAATTATTTATTAAACTAAAATATAACTTTATTCTTCTTTGTCATTCTTTAAATATTAAAAATTCTAGCAAAATATCTTACAAATAAAAAGTTAATTACATGGTTTTAAAAATTTATAATAAAGAAAATAGACAAATACCTTTTAATGCACATTTGCATAAACGTAATAAAAGATATAATTAATTTTTTAAATACATATAAAATAATGAATATCATTATAACATACATATATATTTTAAATATTTAATAATTATTCGTCTACATTCCTTTTTTATAATTACTAATATATGAAATTATGACAAACTCTTATTATTAACTTTCTTATTTGGCAAGCTTAAACAATATTTATTCCGCTTGCATTTAAAATGTATACTTTTATAGAATCGGAAAGAGACCACGGGCGCGCGCGGTTCATCGTGCTTCTTACTCACTGCAAATTTCTCTGTTTCTTTTGTTTGTTCTTTCTAACGTACCCTGACGAATCTAATCGATCATTTACCCTCCCGAACGCGTGCATTATACACGTTTTCGTGTGTCGTGTTTTGCTCTTCCCTGCAATTCCGGCGAACTATCTTTATCGCTCATCTCGCCATCCCCCATTTGTCATCCCAGAAACCTCCAACAGCGAGACTTACGAAAGATCCTGCTATTACGAGATCGTAAAAAGCACAAAGGATCAGACCTCCCGTCCCGGCTCCGTAAAGTCCCGCCGGAGCCTCGTTTGGCCACCTCCGAAACCTATCGAAGATATCACATATCCCACTGCCAGTCCCCTATACATCAATCCAAATCCTATTCTCGACAAAAGGTGCCATCAGATCAAAGAGAAACGCGCTAGCATTGAGGCTTGCGAGCGAGCTTTGAGCCACAGAACCGAGAGGCATCGGAGTGAGAGCATCGATCGAGAGGTCGAAAGGGTATTGAAAGAGAACAGTCGTCGGCACGAAATTGACGCGATGGATCGGATAAGTTGTCCCGGGCAACCGGCATACCGGCGTGTAGAGCTGGTAGACACCAGCAGTAGAACTTCTCGATCGGATGTGACAACCTCAAGGCCAAGTTCAACCGACAGCGTCCGAAGGTCGCTGACGCCCACCAGAATCGTTCAACCGATTCCAAAACCTTGGACCGCAACCGTCAGCAGCGGCGGTACCAATCTTTATCAGCAGAGTTATGCAGTGCCGGCACAGCAGGAACAGCCTGCTGGACAGATTTGCAAGAAGTTCATGCAGCGGGAGGTCTGTCACCGAGAACGTATATCAAGCGGCAAAGAACATCGGGAAGAACAACGAGCTTACAGAGCAGAGATTTGTCGAAGGGAGCAAACAATTTGCCCGAAACCGCCCTTGCCCGCACCTAAGCAGGAACCAGCAGAGACGGTCAAAGAAATCGACACGGAAGTAATTGATCTGAGGGGTGATGATACGGATGAAGTGGACACCTCGAAGGGAATTCAAGGCGAACATGATCTCATCACCGAGACGGCTGAAGAAACGGTGAACGGTATGCGCACGAAGCAATCGGCAACTTTTGAGAAAACCGTGGAGAGAGTGTCGTCACCGATAGAGAGATCTATCGCGCCGATGATAGAGGAAGCGGGAAACAAAACGGAGTCTCAGTGTTTCGCGAGAAGAACCGAAAGACACGTCAACCGAGAAGTGGAGGACACAATGGAACGAACTGTGGAGGAATCCGCCGAAACGGTTACGTCGGCTATCGATGCCCAGCAGATGTGCGAGAAAGCAAAGCAAGAGGAAGAGGAGAGAAAGAGAGAAGAAGAAGAGGAAGAGCGAAAAAAAGAAGAAGAAAAAAGAAGGAAGCGCGAGGAAGAGGAACGAAGACGTCAGGAGGAAGAAGAAAAGAGGAAACGAGAAGAGGAGGAAAAAACCAAGAAACATGTGACCTTTAATGAGGAGGATGAAGAAGTCGAGGAAGTACTAGAGCAGCCATTGGGCAGGACTGTCGTGCGAGAAGAACGCATTACGGAATCGGACGGGTCCACTCCGGGACGCTGCAAAATTACAAAGGAGACATATGAAGAAATCACCGAAGAAGTGCTGGTCCAAGAACGTGTGAGAAGAAGAGGAGCCGTAGAAGACGGGCGTAGAAAGAGCTTGCGCGAACAAGTAGAGGTCCATCAAAGTCTCCGGGACCAACAGGCGCCGGAGAGAAAAAATGTTGTTGCAAGGTATGGACAGCAGCCCCAGGAGACCATGGAGACGTGCAAGAAGAAGGTGCAGTTCTTGAAGGAGACGGAGACCGGTCCAAAACCCTTGCCAGACACGCCTGTAAAAAATTCCACGCCTAAGGAGTGGAAATCCGAGATGGTAAACGCCTTGACGACCGCATCTGATCGGCCATACACACCGCTGAACGCTACGTCTAGTGTGAAGGAACTCTACACCGAGGAGACCATCTATCTGGACCACAGGTGTCGACCTAAGCCACCGCCGCCCAAAGAAGAAATCCGACCGATCTCGCCTTTCCAGCAAGCACTGACGATAGCGCCTGAACGATCCTATACTCCTTTGAGTCGCGAAATCGGGCCGGAAGATCAACAGATTGCCAATAGATCGCAGACTCCGAGTCTTCAGGCTCAGAATAGCGACTATTGCCCGCCGTTAAATATTCTATATGGTAAAGAGGGTACGACGAGAGAATCTTATGCGCGTGAGCAGATGTGTTTCAAGAAAGAAATCAAAGAATCAAGACCGCGACCTTTGCCCACTCCACCGCCTGATCACCGTCTGAGAGATTCCTCGGCATCACCTGCCGCGAGACCTCGACCAGAAACGCCAAAATCATCCAAATCTCTCACGGCTTGTCTAAAAAAACCAGACGCCATACCGGCCTATCAGAAGAACTTGGTGGCGATGAAAAAGGGACCTGTAGAGAGTCAGCCGTTCGTTCCCAGTAGAACACCAACTCCAACGCCTGGCAGATCCAAGTCACCTGCTCAAGGACCGCCCGAGCCGCCGGCTTGTTACGTGAAGGCTCAAGCCGCAAGAGTTCGAGAAGATCCACCACCATCGAAACGCGGTGGATCAGTACATTTCCCTTCACGCAAGACCATCTCTTACCATGTGGAGGAGGATACCGACAGTGGTCACAGAAAGCAGGAATATTCCGCTTCGAGGTCCGTTAACTACGACGAGAAGGAGACCAGCAGTCTCGACGCGGGTCCGACGGACGCACTTTATGCCCAGTTCCAGGAAACACGGTGTATGACGAGCGAAGAGACTAGCGAGCAGGCGAATACTGCGACCCAGGTGAAGAAATCGCTTCAAGTAGTAGAAGATTATGAGAAATGCGAGCAAAAAGAAATATTACCGGCATTACCGTCGCTGAATCCGAAACCAAGCATCTGTGCCATCAGTAAGACGAGCCATACGAAGCCCAGTTTGCATTGTCCCATGACATCATCTACGCCAGTGAGACAGCCGACCTACAGCAGTTCCACCGAAGTACGTCACGTGCGATATGAGACTCCTTCACCGAAGCCTTGTTCGGAAACAGGCGTGACCGTTCTACCTTGCAAAGCGCATTCCGATCAGGGATTTAAAGCCGGCGTCGTCGTGGTGCCCTGCGATGGTTCCCAGACTACCTGTCCTAGATCCGGAATCTGCGTGACAGCCACGAAAGACCGATCGGGCGTGTGCGTGTCGCCTTCGTTCGGTATGCGATCCGGTGCCTGCGGTCAACCATCAGGTACATGCGGTCGCGAGTCCGGCTGCGACTTCAACATCTCCAACTGTCCGGATTCTGACATCTGCATAGCTCCGTGTGTCGACGGTTCCATCTGCGTGGCACCTTGCAAGAAACCCGGCCCAAATCAATCCAAGGCAAATCTTCCCTTTCCTCAAATCCCACTTCCCTACGAAGAAGAGACTTCCCCACCGGCTCCTCAATGTTTAGCTCCCGGCTTCAAACCTCGCACTAATCTGAGCGGTCAGCTTGCGCGACTGACCGCCAAGAATGGCCAGTCAAATGTGCCTGTGGTACAGCTTTACAAGCCGACTCAGACTCAGGCTCAGACCCCTCAGACCCAGAATTACACCGAGAACACTTATTACCACACTCAAAGCTACCGTGAAACCCACTGCGAGTCCGGCAATCATTGCCAGAACACTCAGAACAGCTGCCAAGACCAAATCCATTGTGATACCCTTAGTAAAACCCAGAATTTAGTAGACCCACCAAATTTGTCGTCCCACCCGGATCTAGGTACCGGAATCGGTGGCCTCGGCGGCGCGGGTTCCAAGAGTGGATCGTTCGCCGGTAGCAGCGCGCCCAAACGTGGACGAGGTATCCTGAATCAAGCTGTCGGAGCAGGATCACGTATACCTCTATGCGCTCACTGCAATTCATACGTCAGGTACTCGGGATTACGATTGTCCGGCTCGATGATATGATGATGATGCCTGTTATTTTCGTTGTTGCTTTTCGTATCTCATCCTGGACGTATTTGATTTACTTTTGACAAATGTTTTTTTTTCTTTCTCCATTTTTATATTGACATATATGTATATGTTTGTACGTATGTATATGTATATGTGTGCGTGCGTGTGTGTGCGCATGTAAATCTATTTTTATTCTTTAGGTGCTGTTTTTATTGTCTTAAGGGATTTTTGTTACTCCGATTTTGAATTATTCGAAGAATTTTTAGGAAAATTAAAGCACTCATATATTTTCGCACTGTGTCGTCAGCGTGTTCAAATCAACTTCTCAGATTTATATAAATTTCGAAGTGCATCTGTATAATTATGTACTATTTTAGATGATATAACTAAAAATGTCACTAGATATAATTTTAATTTAAATTTAATTTAATTTAGATTAAATGTAATTAAAACATTTTATATAAGTTATTATATAAAATAGTTTTGCAAACTATTTGCATCCTATGTTATAATTCACCGTAATAATTATAAAATAATTTTCTGATTTTTAGTGATTTTAATATTAAATATTAATTGATATTATTTATACATGAACGTCTAAGTTTGTATTAAACAATGTTTTGTTATATTTATGCTTGGAAATTTATGTTTTTGCTTATCAAAATGATACACGAGAGTTCACTGTATTTGTTTGTATTTGTTGTAATTGTCTAACTGATTAACATTATTTCCGTTGCACGTTGTGTTGACAGCTAACGAAAAAAATACTAATCACAAATCGAACGGCTTCATCCTAAAACCAGTGTGCTGTAAAGACGGCAAGGAGTGCCTAAGGTTTGTATAAAACGCCACTTTGCAAATAAATGTCCATTAACACTTGTGCGTTTTGAAAAATAATATATATTACGATAATCACCAAATTAATTACAATATAATTATAGAGGGCCTTTCATTACCGCTTTGGGCCAAATCTGGTGCCCCGATCATTTCGTCTGCGTTAATGCCCAATGCCGTCGTCCTCTTCAAGACATCGGCTTCGTCGAGGAAAAAGGACAACTCTATTGCGAGTACTGTTTCGAAAAATTCATTGCGCCTACGTGTAACAAATGCAACAACAAGATCAAGGGCGTGAGTATATCAGCGGCTTAGCTACATTGTCGATGACAATCACGATGATTAGATTCATTAATGATTATTATTATTTCTCTCTTAATCGGTCTACAGGATTGCTTGAACGCGATTGGAAAGCACTTCCACCCTGAATGCTTCAACTGCGCTTATTGTGGCAAGCTCTTCGGTAATAGCCCGTTCTTCCTAGAAGAAGGATTGCCATACTGCGAAGCTGGTTGGTATTGTATTTCCGTGATATTAAATAAAACAAGAACATGTTCTAAATATAAAATAATTCGTGTAAGTCATATTTACTTCATTATTCAATTAAATATGATTAAACGGCAATCTTTTCTTCAAAATAGATTGGAACGAACTATTTACTACAAAATGCTTCGCGTGTGGATTCCCTGTCGAGGCTGGCGACCGTTGGGTGGAAGCTCTGAACAACAACTATCACAGCCAATGCTTCAACTGCACGGTGAGTGAAATTTTTTAAGGAAGATTTACTTATCCATCAAGACGCTACTTTTTATTTTGTATTATTTTCATTCATCTCTAGATTTTTTTAAAACTTCATAATTTTTATAGTGTATATCGAAATCTAGCTTTGTGAGCTAATGTGGAATTATTTAAAGATTAATATCGAGCATTTATTTCTTTTGTTGACGTAATAGATGTGCAAGAAGAATCTTGAGGGCCAAAGCTTCTACGCGAAAGGCGGTCGTCCCTTCTGCAAAAATCACGCGCGTTAAAACCGTTTTCGTCATCGATGGCATAAGATCGATGGGATGACAGGAAAGAAAAAATAGGAAGAGCAAAAAAAAACGGAGGGAAAGTCCAACGAAGAGAGAAGCGTACACAATGTTAATGCACCAATTACTTTATCGTGATTACTTTCTTTTTTCTGTGTCTTCGACCAAGTTCACTTGACTAACTCTTTGTCAAATCCGCGAGCGATCCTTCGTATAGCTATAAAAGTACAGGATCAATTAGGGTGATTTTAACAAAAAAGTATCTTTATTATTTGAGTCTGATAATGAATCGTAATATCGGTGAAAGAGAGAACGGTGGTTATTTATAGAATAGATATATCATAAAATAATATAAAAATAAGATATATATATATAGAAATATTAAAAATAAAATTGTAAAAAGTAACTATTAATAATATTAAATGGCATAATATTATATTTTTTTCCAGTATCATCAATCACCCTGATTAATTCTACGCAATGCACATTTTCACGAGGTACTAGTATAATGTCGCGCGTTGTCCGACTACGAGAGAGATTTATTAATTAATATTTATTATCTACCTTAATTAAGAGTGGCGCAGGAGCTAGGCTATCGACCACATCATAACTCTAAAAAATTCAATAGAAATACAGGTCTCAGTTTTCAATCTATGAAATTTAATAATTTATTAATCGTTTACTTATAAGCACTAAAACATATAGTAAAAAAAACTATATAAATATATAGTTTCTTTTTAATTAAATATTCCTTAAAAAGAGCGTTCGTCATGGTTTTATATATGTCGCATAGCTTGCGCTAAAAATCTCAGCTTAGCTCTTTAGAATTAAATGATCTTGCGTCTATCAAAATGCAGCCTTTTGTTTTTGATATTTCGACAATTCCGTTTATATCCGTACGAATTCGGTTATCGTCGTATCAACCGTGTGTCGCGACATCGACGTCGACCGCGAACAAGCAATTAATTATGTCGGGGACGTTTAACGACGTATCCTTGCACTTTGTGGCTCCCGGTTAATAACGGGAGGCCTAATCGCGATCCTAACGGAGTTAGCGGAATACCTCGTAAAATCGTTCGCGGCAGGAAACACTGGGACGATACAACACATAACGAACGAGCCGCCGGCGGAGTCGTCTCGATCACGGATCACGCAAAGGTCATCCGAACAATTAGTATTACGTGGGAATAATTCCGTATTTCCAAGGTGCATCGGGATGCAGCAATGTCTCGGGTGGCGAATGATAAGAATTCCTTTACAATCCCTTAACAATCGACAACGATCGACGCCGACGGTGCATCGTGATGAGAAGAAGAAAGAGAGAAAGAGAGAAAGAGAGCGCGGTCGAAAGAAAATAGATGAATGATTGTGGAAGTCAGATTGAAAGTATGAATGATGCGTAAATGTTCATCACATAAAGAGAGAAAATGCTCACACAGTTTCTGAACAATCAAAATTGCATGCGATTGCAAACGCATTAGATTTTAGACACGGACAATTAATGATGATAATAAAACAAATTCAAACAGTTTTACTTCACTCGCGCTGTTATATTTTTTATAAGATTTAGTCTTACTATATACTATCGAAATTTGTTATATTCTCAAAACAGTTCAACAATCATATGTTTACAACAATAAATTCTGTTGTAAACATATTTTAAGACAAAACAAGCGCAAACTTTTTTGTAGTCAAATTATATATTAAATAATATCATTTATAATTTATTAAATAATATTATTTAACATTGATAAAGGATTAATTCTGGTTACAAAAACATTATTAATCGATAAGAAATATCATAACATTTAAAAACTACAAACTAAAAAATTATACTCGGAAATATGCTAGTCAAATGCTCAAAAGTCCGTTCTTAAAGTCATGAACATGTTTCACGTAATAGTAACAAATTGTTCTTGATTTATAGATGAAAGAAATGTACGCGAAAGAAGTAGCGTGTAATATTTATTAATTTATGAGAGAGTCAGAAAGAAAGAGAAGAGAGAGGAGTCCCGACATATTTTGTGGCCGTTAGGCAGTATTTGCCGAAGATATTTAATAGCTTTACTAAATCGACGAGCAAATATATATTCTTAGTGCACGCAAACTTCACTATAAGTCATCCGCAAATCCGCCGTACTCTGGAATCAGCCGATTAAAGCCGAGACTGATAACAGGTTCAGCATGCATCCGGGCTTTCATTTAATCAACCGATCGATTCGCAAGTTGGGAAAACGAAAGGCTAAAATTCGGTAGGAACGACCTGCTGGCAATTCTTAATTCTTAAATTTAAACTCTAAACTACTGCGATCTTTAATTTCTCAGTCTTTTATTGAGAAGAATTATCTCCCTAAAATTATCATTAAAACTTTTCAAAATAAATTCATGTCTTTGAAAACATATAATGTATTATTTTTAATTAAATAATACAATGATCAGATTTCGTAGCTAAAAGTTTTTAAATTTTCAAATTTTCTTGTCTTTTTGGGACTACTATATTTAAGTTTATGATCTTTCACCACACCAAATATAATCTGAAATCGACGAAAGAGACGTTCGAGATCTATTCCAGGGTATGAGGATGCGCCGGGATGAAACGTGTCAGTTTCACATTGTTGGGTTTCAATTGTTGCTCTGTTTTACGAAATAAGAGACTCTAACATGATAGATATTATTGTCATATTATTACGTTATTTCTAATATGTTACCGATTTTCTGTGCCATCTGTGAGCTTCTGTTATGGCGTAATTATTTTTTTTCTTTTGTGAATGAGAGCAAGCAAGAGAAAAAGGAAAAAGGGTACACGTGCGAGAGACTTCGACATCAGAACTCGTTTATTTGTGAAAGGTAATATATAGTGTAATCCTGTATATAGTATGTAAGCTGTTTTAAGCTGCGTTCGCGATGATTCCGAAAAAAAGAGAAGAATAGTGTGCGAAAAGAACTTGACTTTACCTGCACGATCGCGAGTAATCTTCGACGACGAACGTACGATTGATCGACCAACCGCCGCTCGATCATCGACAATCGTTTAACGGCGCGGACCATGAAATCTCAACTTTTGCTTGGCTGACTATCAGCTGAGCATCGCACAAGCCTCTGTATGCGTGTTACGTGTTGCTTATAAAATAAAAGAAAATATTCACTCGAGAATTTCAGATTTCTTACCCTTCACCTTCCCCGGCATCGAAGTGTTTGAAAATCAACTAGTTAATATAAATTTACCTGTTAAAAAGACGAATTTTAGAGAAATTTTTATAATATCGAAATATTTAAACTTGTTTTTTTTTTCATATTTCTTCCGTTTTACTTTTATTGTATTATAAACGCGTACACTTAGTGCGAGACACTGCCGTGTTTCTCTCGATATATTTATGTTTAATAAACTCTTCCACGTTATACAACTTTGTAATATAATGAGACATTCGGCGGACAAAACAATGCTAAAATTTAAGAGATGTCTAGATCATCCGATGGATTGAGCTTATTTCAAAGAATAGTTTTAATTCGTAATAGTATACGTATAAATGCACTTGCTATTTTATTTGACTTCATTGACACTAGTTACTTCATTGAAACGATGTGTGAAAAGAACTCTCAAGACTCCCTTATTAGGTGAAGCAAGCATTACGGCAAATTCGCGTGTAACGAGGTGTATAATAAAAATGCAGTAAAGCTATCTATAATTTACGAGTGTTATTTGTAACTAGCACTCCGTACTTCAATGAATGGGAATATTGAAAGTATCATATGAATCGAATTTTGAAGTGGATGAATGAACGAGCCTGCAAAAATGCCATAACCGTCATTTTTATTTATCGACAGTCTCAAGAAAGATTGATGCGTGATTGGAATAAGATATTCGATGAGATCAATTAAACTAATTCGGACTTCTAACCGAAGTATTCTTTGCAATGTTTCATCGATTTATCATTAGCGTGCCTTCGCGCGATACCTGTTTGTCTTCAAAGAAGACAGATACGAAAGATAGTCTTCTGCTTCTTTCAAAACAGAATATTTCAGAATATTTTATAAATAAAATAATCAAATAATGAGTCAGACTAGATATTGAAAATTTGTTGAGAGACTTTTATAAAAGATTGACTTTAAATATGCTTTAATAAGAAAACTATCGATAATAGAAAAAATTATAAATCCACTAAAGCGAAAATAAATAAAGTGAGTGGCTAGAGTCGTGAAAAATGATAGTGAGTTTTAAGAGAAAATATTTTTACAGTCGTAAATATTGAGACTTCCTTATCTGAAGCTTTCGAGTGATCTTCAACACGATATACAAATTTCAAAACTTTAATTTCGAATTATTTTTAAACGATATACAAATCCTTGCAATTTTATTCACTTTTTCGTTGTGCTAACTAAAATCTTGTCATTTTTTCTCATCTGCTTCGATTCTAAATATAATATCAAATATTTCAGTGCCTAACTACTCCTGTGCACGGATGAATGCGGCAAAAAAAGTATGCGATGAGAAATTTAATTTAACGCGAGACATTTGACATTTGACGTCAAATCGTTGCGACGTCGATTACGCTCACCCTTTCGAACTTTCGTCGATTTTCCTACACCCAAAATATACGTAGAGTCCTCATCTTTGCGCCTAATTTGCAATTGTGTCCTTCGCACATTGCACATTGCACGTTGGTCGTCAGTGAGTCCTAATCGATCGTCAAGCACGATCAATATAACGATGTCGCACATCGTTCCGCGGTGATAAAAACTTTTTCACGAAATTCAGGTAATCGGATAATGTCCTAATTAAATGTAATTGCCGAAACTAAAATAAATTTTCACGAACTCTCATTCCTACATTTATCGTCGCGTGACATCTAAAGAATGTCCTTTTATTTCTGTCAGAATCTTCGCAAATAGGTACCAATTATAATTATCTCCCATTAAAAATGCGTCGACCATTAAAAGAGACATTAAAAGCACGCAGGAATGCTGGAGGAAAGTTCAATCTCTCTCATTTGAGCTTGAAACTGTCGCAGAATAATTAACACTAACATACAATAAAGTACACTTGAAGGCAGGGTTGGATTAATAATTATATAAATCTCTCAGATACACTGTACGTTAATTTAAAAAACGTTAATTATAAATGTTAATTATTAAAATTTTATATAACATCCAATCTGGAAAAGTCAACAAATATTTCTGAAATTTCTAAAAATCTGAAAATATTACTTTTTAAAATTGTCATTTTATTATATCATTCTATAATAATATTTTATTAATATTAATTGACACTATCATTAGATATATTTGTGCTTTATTAAATGTCAGACTCAAGAAACAAAAGTTGAATAGTTTTGTTGACTGTAAGAAAATATTCAATATAATTACGCAAATATTACGATATCAATGTACGATATTTTTCAGTTCAAAGTCTAGAATTTTATTAGTTGCCACGTGCAACCATCCCTGTGGCTTGACGGAAAGGAACGACAGTGCGCGTCGCGTGCTTCTAATAACCTTCCATAAATTCGAATTATCTAAATTCTCTCCAATCCTTCCATAACGAGCTGCTTCTGACCGCCTACTATCTTACTACCGGCATTCTCGCATCCGACGTCCTTGCCGTCCCTTGCGGCAATCGCGGTGGAAAGCGCATAAAAGCTGCAAGCGACTCACAGCAGTAGCCTGCGCACCTGCGAAGCAGCCGAAAGCGATTGCGTAGACCGGAACGTGGCCGCGCATCAGTGAGGACCGAGATCCCGCCTTGTCTACAACTCTGCACTAGCTATCTCAGCGAGGAACTTCGCGAAGAAAAAGGCTTCGATGTATCGAAATGACAGGCAATTCTCGATTCATCGAGTCGAAATGGTAGCAGAATTGGCAGCGAATTCATTTCCGTTAATTACTGTGTAAGTCTCTCATAAGTATTAACAAATAGAATTAGACAATTCGTAGAAAATAGCGGTATTAATCATAAAGTATGATTTTCACTACGATATTATATATCTTATATACAATTATATTAACGTTTAGATATGTAACAAATTGTAATCTCGAGTATATTTATCATGTGAAATGATTGATTCCTACTTTGTAAATAATGTAATACACATTTTTTCAGATAACTTTCTGTACGTGATGAGGATTAAGATTATTGACAAAATATATATCATCTGCAAAGGTAAAGTTCTTCCTGTATATTGCTTTCTATTTTGCTTGTACTGATTATGAGAGTCGAAGCTATAGACACGACACACGTGGCATCGTCCGCGATCTATATGCGCTTTATATTTCAAAATATCCTTGACATTGAAGAATACTTGGTAATGCTACACGACATACACAGGTCCTGCTAATGTATTAATACGTGTTTTTGCCATTAATTTGTGATTAATGTCGATAAATTATTCTACGCTTGATTTTTTAATCCGTCTCCGTTATTTTCAAATAAAAAAAATAATCCACACATTTATTACTATTTTCATTACAAATTTTAATTTTTATTGAGAAAATAATGACATTTATTTACTTTGCGTTATTTATTAAAAAGTACGAGATTGTATTTATTAAATTCTTCTCGATGAAAGAGAAGTTATTACCCAATTTCACCGATACTTGGATTTTTTTTAATTCATGCTCTGCAGTGAAGAAAATATATAATTAAATTCTTCTATTTTTTTAAAGAAAGCAACAATTTTGTGTGCAAAATAGTTGATAGTGCCATTTCGAGACAATACAAAATTAGTGTAATTAAATAACTTATTGATATGCGTTTGCTAACGCAAAGATATATTTGATTTAATCCCTTTTCTTTTAGATTACATGCCGTAATGCACTTCTGGAATATAATGCAATATCGACGTAACTAAACCAGAGGTTCGCTATATCTCTCAAATATCAAAAAGAGTATGATGCTTCGGCATGGCAATAAAATGCATGGAAGGGCCTTTTGTGTTCAGACTAAATGACAATGGTACCGGACCGCATCTGCTTGTACAGGTATAGTTAATTCAAATGAAATTGCACTTTCCATAATCCCAGAGACTAACGATCGTCGATGAAGTTCTCGATAAAGCACATCCGAAATCATAGACTAATATATAGTAATCTTCAATCGTAAATTTCATGTCATTCATCGACGTACGAGAGTGCCGAAACGGCCGCACGCGTTGCCGCGCGATGCATCGCGGATAATCGATACGATTCGACGCGAAAGGTCGTCGGCTTCGACGGAAAACGTTATACACCCGGTGGACGCGTCGTAGATAGGTCCCCCTCTAGCTCGGTTTTTATGCCCGTTGGAATTTGTTCGTACAGGTACAATTACAAACTTAGACTTAGCGCCCTTGAACCAAATACTTTTCAAGGTACGCGATACATACATGCATACCTGCAACGCGCCTCTGCGTGTACTTGCCGTTTTTAGACGCGACGATTAGGTAAGTGCGACATGCAATGGTAAAAAACGAAAGTAGAAAACAGAGGACTAACAAGTTGGACTTGGCGAAAATTTCCAGCGCGAGATTTGTGACTTCCGCGCTGTTTCATACCCTACAGTTATTAGTGTATGTATTATACTTCTGTTGTACCTCTTATTATAAAAAATGATTCACAAGCCTGAGTACTAACAATAAGTATAGGCTGTCTTGCAATTGATTTTTAATGGTATATTCTTTCATTTGGAACATATATCTTTTTTGAAATAATAATTTGAATAAAATTTTATAAGAGAGACGATTATTATACAAACATGCTATTGTAACTATTGTAAATTTTACTATTGTAAACTGACATTGATTTTTAATATTAAATTGGAAATTATTGCGAAGAAAAAGTTGAATTTATATAAATAATATATCTTTGTTAATTAATACTATTTAATGCAATTAAACATTTTTTCCAATCGCTTATGATGTGACAGTTATTTCTTCAATATTTTAATTTAAAAAATAAATCTTTTTGTCTAAAATTTATATCAAAGCTCGAAGTACATCCTGTGTAAACATTAAATTATTATTGAAAGAAATCGCGCATGCACACGTAAAATTTGGAAAAGATATATTTTTCTTTTCAGTTGATAATGATAATAATATTTCTTTTTAAATATATAATAAGAAAAAGCATTATAAATAGATCTATGTGGTAACGCCAAAAAATTAACATGCTTTGTCAGTGTGGAAATAATTTTCCGTAAAGTGGATTCGCTGGCGTATAATTAGTCCTCGCGTTTACTTTGGTTTCGAGTAGCTACTCATTCAATAATTCGCGTGTGTTGTCCTAATAAATGTTTAATAATTGTCCTAATAAAATCTTTTTCATCCAGTTTCATATACCCATCTTCATTTATTAAATCAATTACTTATTTACTTTTGATCGTTAACTGCAACAGTCGGATAAAAGAGAAACAATAAAATTGGGTTATCCGTGAGAGAAAGACTTAAAAAATGGAAGCTTGCCAATAATAACGGTGGGCGTGTAATTTTCGAATTATTCAGTGGTTTTGCATAAATCATAAATGTATCTAACATAAGCTACTCCGAAGTTATGAAAGTAGCTCAATCGTATCTCACACAACATGGGATTAATCAAAATTAAATAATGACAGCGTCGAATACTATACATAAAGTTTCAGAATACTTTGCATAATGTAGAAAAATCTGCATAAGTACTGTGTTTAAGAAATTATCTTTGTTTCTAATTCGAAAACAAAAAGACAACGATTAAATTATAATAAACAAATATATCTAAAGTTTAAAATTATACAAAGACAAATATAATCACTCTTGAGTTGCTCAAGTGTTTCGTAAATCTTTTCTCAATTATTTGTATTCATATAATTAGAAATATTTCTAAACCACTTTAGAGTAAAAAATTATGATAAGCTTATAATCCTTTAATTTTATAAGCGTATAAGTTCTTGGTTTGAAAAATATGAATTTAAGACGATCCAAAAATACTTAAATTATAAAGCGATGTGTGTGTCGTGCACGCCGATTTAATTGTAATCAGAGGCCTTGGCTCGTTTTTGATACAACGAGCAGTCATTCCTAATGTTCTAATAACACGACAATAAATCAAGGGCGGTCGTCGCTATTTTCGTGCGCTCATACTCTCGAAAGTTTCGAAACTTCGGAATGCGTAGGTAGCTGGAATTAAGGAATGCACTTTCGGTTGCCGAACTGAAAGTGGTTCCGGTCTATCAATTTGGCCAATTGGAGAGATCGATGCAACACGTCCGTGCGCAGCGTGTGGAGTAAATAGATATCGATTATGGTATTTCGGTTGTAACCCTTGGTATAAGCAAGATGCTAAAATGCATATTTAGTAAGATATACTGAAATAAGTCGAGTGCTCTCCACGAATTTTGTTTGTAAAAATATTTATATTCACTGGAATCTCGAATGCATCGATAAAACTACTATTTTCATCCAATGTATTCGTGAGCGGCTTACTTTAAAATTACGCGATTCCATTTTAAATTATTATATCTATAAATCTGTCAGATACGAGAATGTAAATTAACGTAGTATGATAAGTGATATCGATCTCGACGCCTTCGAAGTTGTGCTTGCATCACCTCCGCGAGAATAATGATTGCGTTTCGTCGTAATGTTTATAGCATTTTATGCTGTTGCGATGAATAACGCGAAAAAAATTTGTTGCCTTTTTCGTTGCTGTCTGACGGGGAATAATGCTCGAGTATTCACATTTCGTATCGACATTTGAGACGGGTTATAAATAGTACCGAGCCTTTGGAATAAATGTCGAGGTAAATATCAACCACCCTTTCGCTATCGCGAATGTTTTCTTCTGTAGGTTTGCACGGAACGGGGATGGCGGGAGTACGCCGGCGAAAATAATGTATTCAAAGATCGATGGAATTTATGGTGGCGGTTCGGCGGTTTCCCCATGTCGCATTACAGGCCGTTATTTCCCTGGCAGGTAATAACGCAATATCTAGAAGCATTTTGAACTTCGAGCAACCCATCAAAATTTTTGAGTTTCTCTATCCGGAACGTAAATAACGAACAAAGAAAAAGCAAAGATAACGTTTTCTTCAAATTTGCTTGTTATTTTATATTATAATAAATAAATTTTTATTTTTCAATTCGTTAGTGCTCGCCAATTTTATCTCTTAAAGAAATCGATTAAAACTCAGTTAACTTTAACTAATATTTTTAACAACGACGCTCTATTTATTTTTATTAGACTTAATTAATTTCGTTTTAATTAAATAACTTCTTAATTAATTATTTATTTAAATCTAATATGTCGAAGTAACTATATATTAATTTTAATTTTTCTCTAATTACCTGTTAGCTCAATTCGAGAAATTATTTAACTCGGATTATTTTTCGAACAGTTTGTCAATCGGATACCAAAGGGAAATTCCATCTGCCGAAAGGATAAGCTTATCCGTCACTTGAAGCGCATGAAAAAAGTCCACGGTTCGATATATGACTTCAGGTACATAAACTTTTAATTGCACTTGTCTGCATTAACGCAAAAGTTTTTCTCGTAAAACACATTATCCTTATTTATTAAATTGTTTCAAATATTTAGTTAATTAAAATGAGTATTAAAGTTAAATTAAATTTTTGTTTAAAAATTGTTATTTTTCATCCAATTTAAGATATAATAATAAATTGTACAATTAAATGTATTATAAAATTATTTTTTATCGATGGAGGTATATTCATTTATCGCATCAGTCCCGTAGGATACAACTTGCCTTCCGAGTATACAAAATTGGCCGAAGAGTGTAGCCGTTGCGAGAAGGATGACAAAGTTTGGATTTGCAAGCCGGTCGGCCAAAGTCAAGGGAGAGGAATCTTTCTATTTCGCGTGAGGTTTCTCTTTAAAGTGCAAAACAAAATACAAAAATATCGCATAAATTAGATAACATATGTGTTTTTCCAGAAATTAAGCGATCTATCGTACGATAATGCCGCGGTTGTGCAAAGATATATCGAGAACCCTTTACTGATCGGCGGATACAAATTCGATCTTCGCCTGTACGTGTGCGTGCCGTCGTATCGCCCGTTAACGATTTACATGTACAAGGAAGGTCTAGCTCGTTTCGCCACCGAAAAATTTTCCTTGGAGCGATTGGATGATCCCTTTCGACATCTCACAAATTTTTCTCTGAACAAATTAGGACCAGGCTACTCGGAAAAGAAAGAACGCATCGGTGCCGGTATTTTGATACATTAATATACTATATACTACCTTCCCATACAGCACACTTGTCCAAAAGCGAGACATAAAACGTCTAAAAGACGTCTTTTAGACACCTTTTAGATGTCTTATTAAAAGATGGACAAAAGACGTCTTATGTCCCGATTTTGGACATAGGTCTGGGTTCTTTATTATATATTCTATATAATGTTTCGTTCTGTAACTAGACGCAAAAATTAAAAAGATTTAAAAATGAAACTTTAAATTTTTTATTTTTACATAGGATGCAAATGGACATTTAGACAATTGCGAAGATTTTTCGAACAGTCAGGATACTTCGATTGGATTCTTTGGCAGAGAATCTCGTGTCTAGTCACTTTAACGATTTTAAGTCAAGCAGCGGGCATTCCTAGATCCTCGAACTGTTTCGAATTTTTCGGCTTTGACGTGCTAATTGACGAGAATTTAAAGCCGTGGCTCTTAGAGGTAAATAGAGCGTGATTCGAAAGAATAAAATAATTAAATAGAATAATAAAAAAAAATATAATAAACTTACATAAATTACAGGTGAATTTAAGTCCGGCTTTGAGTAACGACTGCGAAGTCGATTCAGAAGTGAAAAAGCCCCTGTTGCATGATCTGTTTGATTTATTGGGTCTTCCAGTGTGTAACACCGGGCTTTCTCTATTCACAATCTGGTCCTCTCTCGATCGCATCGAGGAGGACGGCGAAGTGTCTTCCAAGTTCGACCGCTCCGTGAAAAAGAGATCGAAACTCGGGCGAGAAGCCGAAACTTTTCTAAATCTTTCCTCGGAGACTCGAGCTACGGTAATCGCGAGCGAAAGCTTCTGCCTTTTGTAATCGAAAATACCGATAACATATCAAAAGTGATATTTTCAATTACAGAAAAACAGAAGAAATTAATCTCGAAATATTATAGATTGAGTAACACATTAGTACTAATATCAAGAAAAATTAATGCAATTTTGCAAGCGTATATTGAAAAAAAGAAAAATAACATATGATGCTTATATTGTAATTTTCTTTCAGCTGCGACAATCAACACCGGAAGTTTGCCCGACTACGTGGCCCCGTTATAACCCGCTGTTAATGGACAAATACATACGTCGATATAAGGGAAATACGATCGAGAATCATGCCTCGCCACCGATTTGGGACAACGGCAGAGACTGGAGGGCTTCCTGCATAAGGGAAGGCGGATGGATTCGTATTTGTCCGTTCGTTCGGACGAAACACGTCGAGAATACGGAATACACGGGACCGTCGCCCAGAACTGTTGAGAACGAAATCAAGAACATGGTCCTTTCTATACAAAAGTAATCTTGTATATTTCTATCGATGTTTTCTATTATTCTGCTTCGTAGGAGCTAACGGCAAGCTATGTTAACAAATTTTTCGAAAAAATTGGAATCAGAAAAACTTCACGGAGAAAATTTTATAGTAAATATTACTATGGTGTCGCACTAGCTGCGGACCATCGAGGAATTTTAAGTTAAAATACTATAATTATTGTTTTAAAAACGATTAAATAACGTAATTTTTACCATAAACATAGTAATTTAACTTAAAATTCCTCGATGGTCCGCAGCTAGTGCGACAACATAGTAATATTTACTATAAAATTTTCTCCGTGTTTCAGTATAAAATATGGTGACAACTTCAAGTATGGAATAAAAATTTAACGTATTTAATAATGGCTATGTAAAACTATAAAAGTATAAATGCAGAAAATACATGTACATCTTGTAACAAGTTTTTCTTTCAAATAGGTACTTGAAAGCTGCAAAGGAAGTGCAGCAGAGAAACGAAAAGCTCACGGACGAGCAGTGCAATGCTCTTTTACAGAATGCGCTTGAATTAAATACAGAAATTTGGCTGCCAGAAAAGTAAAAACTTAGAAGTCTGGATTTTTCTTCAAACTTGTTTGCTCTTTACGCTTGTTCGTAGTGTTACTTTAAGAAATATTTCGTACGATATTCGATGCACATTATACTAAACGGGCGTCTTTTCATTCCAACGATTTTCGATTGTAAATTATATTCAGTATATTAAAGAGATAATCTTTAAATTGCGAGATTTTAGCAATTAGATTCGCATTGATAATTGCATTTAGCATTAAATGTAGCCATCTCATGCTCAACTCGCAAATAAAATTATTTTATTACAATACCATAGTATTAATTTTGTACAATAACAATTGCAATACCACCACCGAACTATATTCTATAATTTCTCTAACTATTATTGCAATTATTAGCATTTTTATGAACTTTTTATTATCAGCTAACGTTAATATTGTAACAAATTTTTTACCTCACTATAGTATTGAATTATCCGATTTTAATCATATAATATTTATTTAAATTTCAAATATTAAATAATTAAATTTCAATTTTGATTAAATACATTTTATAATTCTACTATCACTATGTAACAAAATCATTATTCTCTGCATAAATATCCATATCATTCTTCCACACACAAAATAATCATTATTGTGCGAAAACGGCTATTAGAATTGTTAGTATTTTTTTTAAATTCGTAGAATGTCGTGCCGTTCACAGATGCCATATATATTAATTATTATAAGTGTCCACTTTTAGCACGAAACAAAACGCGCTTAGAAAAATGCGTTACAGGCCTTTCATCAAAGATAATAATTTACTCACCGTTTCGCCGAACTGTATAATCACTCCTTCGACTCCCAACTTTCGGCTGATTCTTCTCGCTCCACTTGCGACAACTCGAATTCTCGAGCAGAAAAGCGACGATCTGCAATTACAAATACAAATTATTGTTATAATCAACCGCGCGTGATGTCGTTAAATGTGAGATACATACACGTACAGCTGCATGTATGATTTAAACACGTAACAAATGTAACAAATCGAATTTGCTCTGGTCAGGCCGTGTACGTTGCTTCTGCGAATCGTGCAATCATTCATGTGGCCCCCTGATTTTCGATAGATCTTTCGCTTCGCGGCGAGAATTCGCCACCGGATTCCCAGTGAAAAAGCGTGATCGCAAACGTGGACGTTTACGACGTGACGATAGTCCGTAACTTTGTTCGTCAGTCCCGGCGTGAATTAACGCGCACCGCCAATTTTTGACGATTAATTCGCGAGAGAATGCATCCGCGACTTCACACCACCGGACCCATGTTCCGCAGTAACCGGCGTAGCCGCGACTAACATGGCCGCCGGGCATGCGCGCCGCGCGCTTCTATCCGTACTTTGAACGCAGCCAATGTCGTTTCTTCATATTCGTGCGTCATTCCGCGTAAACTTTCAAAATAAAAATCAAATTCTATACATATTTTTTCGGTTAATTCGTTATGTAATTTTTACTTTATCTTTAATCTTTCAAATATATCAAGTTGATGTTAGACTGTGAATCAATCATGATGTATACACAGTGGATCGAAAAAGTATTTGCACATCCAGTTTTCTTACAATAACTTTATTCGAAGGAATAATACATAATTACGAACTGCGAGATAAGTAACTTATACATATACTGTATGTAATAAATTATGGACACAGTTCGTACTTATGTATTATTCCTTCAAATTAAGTTATCGTAAGAAAATTGGGGGTGCAAATACCTTTTTGATCCACTCTATATAGACACGCTGTACATATATGCCTGTACATATATGAAAATTACGCTCAATATTTTCCTCTTTTCAATATTTCAGTATTTTCTTCTAATTTCACTTCTTTTTTGTTTAATCTTACGTTGTATTATATTTTATTGTATCATACGTTATATATATTTTATAAACCCAATTTTAAAGAGATGGGGAAATGGTGATATTTTTGTGGAACTGTATTGTTATACAATAAATTATTATAGTGAAATTCATCTACAAGCGAATGGATAAACGAAGAGTTACCAAGACAATCTCGGTTTATTGAAGATTTTCTTGAAAATGTACATTTATTAATTCACTCCCTTCGCTGCTAATCTCTTGTCGCGTTCCTCGGCGATCGACAGTTTCACACCCTTGTCTCTTGGTAGACTCACATACGCCTTCGTGCCTTTGCCGATGATGAAGACATTGTTCAACCTGGGCAAACAATTTATAAATTTATGTACAAAGAATAATACGGAATAATTACAACTAAAAACAAATTTCATCCTTAGTACCTCGTGGCGAAGGTGTGTCCTTGAGCATCCTTTATGTGACAGATGTCAAAGGAGCCAGGATGGCGCTCACGACTCACGACGGTACCAACACGACCCAAATTCCTTCCTCCGGTAATCATGCACAGATTGCCTGATAATCAGAGAAAATTACGCTCAATATTTTCCTCTTTTCAATATTTCAGTATTTTCTTCTAATTTTGCAAGTAAATAATTACCAGAATCAAATCTGATGGAATCCAAAATCTTGCTAGTGGCAATATCCAGATGAATGGTATCGTTAACTTTTATAACAGGGTCGGGATATCGAATTGTTCTACCGTCGTGCGTAACTAAGAACGGTATTCCTTTAGGGCCAGTTTGGACGCGCTTTACCTTGCACAATTTGTACTGCAAAACATAATACCACATTATATAGATACATAATGGTATTAAGTAAGAAGAAAAAAAAAAAAAAAAAAAAAGAAAGAAAAGTATACGACATCAAAAACAATTACCTTGGCTTCTTCAGCAGTAATACGATGGGTAGTAAAACGTCCCTTGACGTCATAGATCAAGCGGAAAAATTCGCCAGTTTTCTCAATTGTAATAACATCTAAAACAATTCAATCACAATGATATTAATCGATACTGTCTATCGGTACTTGTGCATGAGAGCTACGAGATATTATTGTGCACTTCTTGGGTGATACAGAAAGAATATGCAACTCAATCTGCGACCTTAATTGAAGAACGTGTTTTACTATTGGCCACTTTTTGACTATGATACTCTTTTAACAATATAAATACCATAGCTTCGATAATGGCCCAATTCTATCAAACATTTTATAACACAAAAGTGAAAGACGTATTATAATAGATAAAATATAGCAAAAGCACTCACCCATGAAACCGGCAGGATAATTAGGGTCAGTGCGAATCTTTCCATCGACCTTGATCAAGCGCTGCATCACGATCTTAGTAACTTCACAATTAGTCAAGGCGTACTTCAACCTGTTACGGAGGAAGATAACCAAAGGGAGCGATTCCCTGAGTTTGTGTGGACCAGTGGATGGTCGGGGGGCGTACACACCCCCGAGTTTGTCCAACATCCATGCTTTCGGTGCGTTAAGACGCTTGAGATGCTTTTTTGGACCTCGAGCCTAGAAGAAAAAAATTATATAATACAATATTAAAATATTCGAAATTAAAATCAAATTAGTGATAAAAATGATTAAATAAATCCTCTTTCTCTATGTAAAAAATTAATAATAAAAAATTAATGATGAAGTTTAAAAGTCAAACAGTAGATAAAATAAACACAAAGATATTTGATATTTTGAAATTAAAACTGCAAAATTCATATGTATGTCGATCCAACATGAACATTTTTCTCATACAAGCATAAATTCATTGAACGTTTTGAATCGAGAACTATACGGTAACGAGTTATAAGAACGACTGTTGGACTTAATTTCTTGCAGAAAGAATTTTGTGCACTTCTTGGGTGATACAGAAGGAATATGCAATTCAATCTGTGACCTTAATTGAAGAACTTGTTATACTATTGGCCATTTTTTGACTGTGATACTTGACAATGTAAGTACCACAGCTTCGATGAAGGCCCATTTCCCATTTCTATCGAACATTTTATAACACAAAAATGAAAGGCAATAAATACTTCAATCTTCTATAATCATACAAATAGCAAATATAAAAAACAATCTCACTAAAACCTTACATTTTTTGTACTAATGTCAATCTATGTGATTAGGATAAAAAATAACGTATGATGTGTGCCGCGGAATTTAGGTTAGGCCCGAATTTAGGTTAGTCTCAATATTTAATTTCAATTCTACTCAAGCAAGTCGTTAATTCGAGCAGAAATAAAATTTGTTACGTATCGCTGTAGAATAATTTCGATGAAATCATAATGCAGTAAATCCAATTAGAAGAGACCAAGAGATCGTTGAGGGAAAACGAAACGAAGCGGTGCAACACGTCTTATGAACATCGTGATTTTCTTGGCACCGGAGCACATTTAACGTTTCATAAATATATTATCGGACACACGAAAACACGCACCACGGATTTATCTCGCGCGTCAAGCGGATTCACGTCGTATACACGCGATGTAGACAGATTTCGCGACTCATTAACTTACCATTTCGGAGCTCTAGACGGAAAAGACACGAGGGGGCACGAAAACTCGCGTCAAAAGAACGCTGGCGGCGCCATTGTAATTGTTATGGCGGCCCGGGTCTACGTAACGCAAGATGGTGATCGAGCGTTCAAATACGAGCCGAGTGAAATTACCAGGAAAACGAGAGCCTGATTGGCTATCGCTGTTCACCTCGTGGCGCACTATGAAATTCAAATTTATAATTTTTATTACTAATTATGCTATAAAAGTATATTATAAATCATATGTTGTAATATACTACGTTGACAATAAGCACCGTTATAGCTGACTTTATTAACCCTTCAGTGGTCACGTGAAAATTTGAAATGTAAAAGGGCGCGTAGAGTATAAATTAATTATACTCCATTTTATTTATGCTAAAAATATTAAACCAATAAAAATTCTTTTCAGGTTAAAAGTTTAGTTTTAATGTTTTTTTCGATAATAATCGGTTCTATATCGAAATGAGTTCAAAACATTAATTTTTTACAAGCTGTTGTAGAATGTAAAATACATTCCATACACGCCCATTGAAGAGTTAAGCAATAAAAGCCTTGGTACATAGAAAAACTTAAGCAGTAAAACTTATATAAGCAGTAAAAAATCAACGGTATGGATTCGCTACCGCTTAGGGCCGTGCCTTAAGTTCTTGACTGTGATTGGCTGATTTGCTAACTGCTTGAGTTTTACTGCTTAAGTTTTTCTATGTGTCCGGGCCTTAAAAGCTGTTCTAATAAGGTTTTACAAGTGTCAGTTAACTTTTAATCTTAGATTAACTCACTCTTCGTCTCCTTCTAACGTCCCCCTTAGAAAAAGACGAAGAGTAAGTTTTAATCTAAGATTAAAAGTTAACCGACACTTGTGAAACTGGCCCTAATACACTCGATTGAAGTCAAACAAGATAACATTTGATTCGAGTTTCTGTTTCTACTGGTAGAAATCGCCTATTTCTACCAATGCAGTTTAATTTTAATCTAATTAATTTAACATTTATTTTCATAAATCTTATTCTACATATATCTTTTTCTAGTTATAAGAATTAGAAAAGAATAAAAAGCAAGTTAAACCGAGATTAAAATAAATCTTCATTGGTAGAAATGGACATTAGAGTGTAAATGTTTGGAGCAAGGCTATAATATTTTATTTTACAATGCATTTTTCAGACGTACTGATTGGCTCGATGAAGAGAGTAAGGAGAAAAGTTTTCGAGTTTCCAGACTAGCCAATCAGCACGCTCGAAAAATTTATTTTTCGACAAATGAAATGATACCGCAACCGCAGAGTCATTTCTCGTGGAACGTTTTCAAACGTATATAGTTCGTGCTGATTGCACTTTGTTTTAAATCCATATCGAATTAAAGAGCGTCAAAGCGATGGATATTAAACTCGTCGGAGAAAATCACACGTGTGTATAATAAACGTGTGTGCGTTTATAATATTTAATAATACATTAACGAATTATACATTAATAGGAAAATTTCTTCAGAATGCGAAACGAGAGATCGCCGAGATGAGAGTCGCCGACGAGAGCGAGTGAAGGCGCGCGCGGCGCGCTTCGAGAGAAAGAGAAAGGAAAAAAGAGAAAAAAAAATCGAACGCGAGACGGCCGAGCGCTCCGTCGGCGGCGAGTTTCAGTGGCGTCGATAAAGGAGCGACCGAGCCGAGAACGGACGAACGGACAGTCGATCGGTCGGTCGGTGGAGTCGGTGGGTCGTTCTCGTTCGGCCCTCTGTATGCGATTCCGTGGCTCCGAGCTCCGAGTCCGGTCCCCCTTTAAAAACGCGCAATTGCGACAATATGGCGGAACGCGCATCCGCGCCGGCACCGCTCTGCCACTCACAGTGACTCGCGCCTGCAGGTATTTCGAATCCTCGAAGCCGCGAGAAAACGCGTGCGGAACGCACGCGAGCGCGCACATACGAGTCGCATACGCGCGAACGCCGCGTTTACGCGTCCGTCATATATATATATTATATCTCCACACATATATATCTGCCCCTTTCTATCTCTCTTTCTCTTTCTCGGAAGTACTCCGATCTCCGCGCGGCGTATCCCGCAGTCCGCACTCCGGATATCTCGCGCTCTCGCGAAACATCACGCACGTACGGCGCTCCTCGGCGTCGACCTCGGAGTCACTTATCGATTAGCGTCCCGTGCCGGCGGCGATGTGCCGCCGCGGATGATGGAGCTGACGCTGGCGCGCGACCCCCTCGTCGGCCAGGCCGCGTCCCCGCGACACGTTCGCCTCTGAGCTAGTGGAAGAGAGAAGTGCATCGCTCCGAAGACCGCGGACGACCAGCGACGACGCTCATCGGGCTCATCCGTGCCCGCCCGTCCGATCGCCGTTTGAGGTAAGTAAATGCCTCAGTACACAAGGTGAACATTGTTACGTTGCGCGACGCGGCGACACGCCGAGTCGCGAAACCTGCGAAGACCTGCGTGACTTTTGCATGGAGATTATTTTTTGCGCGACGGCCGTCCTCCGCCCGGAAGAGCCTTCCGTTTCTCTTTTTCTTTCCATCGCGTAGCGATCCATTTCGTAGCAGGATTAACAGGAACGCGGCGTATGAGTATAAAGTTATGCGCGAATCGGCGCCGCTGATAAAATGTGGCACAGGAAAAAGCGATAGTACAGCTAAAACCGCCCAGAAATATGCGGTTGCAGCTCCTGTCGATTGGCGTCGTCCATTCGGCCGTTTTTAGCTGCGTTCAGGATATAGGATGCGTATTCGTGTTGTTTTAATATAAGTTTTTGCAGTTTCGAGATAACGTTCTTCTTAATCGACGGACGTGTTTATCGCCTCGTATGCATTTTAAACGTGAGATACATTTAATCTACCATATTAAAATTTTTCTCTCTCTCTCTCTCTCTCTCTCTCTCTCGTTCTATTGATAACATTACTATTTTTTAACGAGATGTATTTATGAAAATTATATTTCTTGTATAATGCATTTTACGGTTAGTGATGAATAAAGAACAACGCGACCGCTTTTTTAAAAAGCAGGTGCGGATCTCGCAATACGGCATATATTTTCTTTTTAATCGATACATTTTTTTTATTTATTTACGAGTCGACGGATTTATTGGACGGCGGACGGCGGACGGCGATGAACCCGGTGTTATTTCGATAAGAAACCGCGCTGATATCGATCGAATATACTTATTACGGAGTATCAAAGTTGCAGCACGCGATGATTGTACGTATCGCCTACGTTATATACGCGGGAAATTCCTCGCCGCGGGTGCTTTTCCGGCGATATCTCTCATAGAGCGTCAATCCCGGGACGTGAAATCGATCCGGATCACATCTTCGACCTGGATGCGATTTGTGTGTTTCTGCCGCGGTAGTCTACGCGGCATTCCTTTCACTTTGCTGACAACTGGCTCGGCGCCGACGATTGACAATCCCGCGATGACTACTCGCGCTAACTGTTACGACTTTTGCCTCCGAGATTCGCGTGAGAAAATCGAGACGACGGTTTCAACTTTCTCAGCGTGTTGGTTTTTCGGAATTTATTGACGAGACTGTCGGAATTTATTGACTCTCGGTGACCTCAAACGATAAGATTTGCTTTCCGCGCGCGATCCCGATCGCAACGATATTTTTATGTCGCGCGAATAATGTATCTACGATTGTTGAACAATTTTTAGCTGAATAATTTCTATCGTGAGGTTGAAATTTGAAATCGTTTTATAACGTTTGTAATAGTTTACAAGCGACTCACGCGGCTTGGAAAATAAAAGAAATGCAGAGCGAGAGGGGCGACTAAAATTCTGAACATGAATCCTCGCAATACATTTTACGTAATATATATGCACGGAAAGAATTTTTTGTTATATCTTACCCTTAAATTCACTACAAACTTGGGACAACTTGGCAACCAAGGAATTTTTTAAATATACAAAAGACATTTTACAAACAACGTGATAAAAATTACCAAGCAGATTGGTAAATTTTGAAAAATTATTGAAATTTCCTAGATATATTTTAGTAGAATTTTTTTAGAATTAGAAATGATACTTTATTACCTCAAGGGGTCTGAAAGGGCGTTTTGTAGGGACGTACCCAACCCTTAGATATATTTTAGTAAAATTAATCAAACATATTTTATATTTTAATGTAATAGATATTAATATTTTTTATTATGGTAGATATTAATCAGAATAGCTCGCATAAAATTCTTGGTGGTACATGTTGTCCTACAACTACCATAATTTCAAGGTAAATTTTAAGAGAAAATTCTCTTCGTGTGGGAATTTCGCAATTCTATTTTCAATGAGAACTGAGAGGAAAAGAAGACGCGCGACGTTATTCCTTGCCGCGCTCTTCTAACGAACAATCGTAGATATTGATTGGAGAAAAATAATAGAACGAGTCCCCCCCCCCCGCGGAAGGCTCGTGCGCACTAAATGTTGATAAATAGTAAATACCGAGTAATCTCGCGTTCATTCCTCATTATCCTTGCATCGCGAGGCGTTATGTACAATCGATATATATGCATGTTATAGTACGAAAAGCTCGCTATCCAAGTGACGCCATAAGCATATGCATGTGCATGTGCATATGCACGGATATATGCATGCGCTCGCTAGTTACGTGCATATGCGCAACGTTGCATGCGGGGTCATTGCCCGCACGTGTTCTATTCCCATCACTAATACATGAATGCTGACAAGGAGCGGCAAAGCGCGCTTCGGGGTGAAACAAAGTTGTTGTTTTTTTTTCGCGAATGCGTAACGTGTCAACACGAGATAAGAAAAATCGCGAAAAATTGCACGATTAATCGCGAATTTTTTATTTTATGGTCTCTAATTAAAATCGCAACGTATTCAAAATCGCGAGAGCAACAATTAAATTATCGAAGTTTCAATAAGAAATCAATAAAGAAATTTTTCATCGCGTATCGCACATTGTAAAATTGTTTGCGACAAACATTATTTATTTTGTATTGTACAAATGGTCATTATATGGCTATTTTTTTCTCAACAATCGAAGAAAAAATTTGCAAGTTTTTTTGTTTATTTAGTTATAATTTATTTAAATTTAAGACATGGCACACAATTTCTGTGTGCCAAACAATTTTATTAAACAATCTCTGATAATTATTATTTTATATTATTATAAATTATTATTTATAAATAATAGAAAAAAAACCGTTGTTCTGTCTTTTTTTGGTTTGATTAAAAAATTGTGAGGGCGATACGTTTTAATAAAATATGTTTTCCATCGTTACATTCGTAGTGTCAAATTATATTCAATTTGAGTTATATTTAACCATTTCTATAGGTCATAGGTCGCCACTACTCCTCCTCAATATATCGTTAATTTAATCAATGGAGTTCAATAATATTGTTTTATGTTAAAATAATAAATATCGACACACATGATGGTTAAAAATAACAAAATGTTATTTAACTTAAAGTATTGATTTAAAATTTTATTTTTTAATATTTAACAATGTGTGAGGTGTCTCGAGCTATATTTAATCATATATACATAATAATAAATTGCGTTAATCTCTATATAGATTGATTACGCTCTGAAATTTGTAGGATTTCTCGCTATTTTTGCGACATTTCCTTTGGAATCTGAAACAAAAAGGGGAATGTGAAAGGTGATAAAACTCCCCGCGGGAAATATTACGCAACGCAAAAGCATTGCTGCGTAGAATCCCGGAATGGTGAGGGGAGTGAAGTCACTACTCCATTCATGGGATTCGTTGGCTCTAATGGGGTCTCGAGGACGTATAGGGAGGGCCGGGAATCCCTTCCTGGGGAAAGGATCTGAAGTTGAAGGTCACGCATTCCCTCGCGAAAAGTTACGCGCTTCGATACGCAATCGATGCCGGACACGTTGCATAGAGAATTGTGCTGAAAATTTACATATTTACATATTACATTCCTAAACGCCATGCAGCTATCCATGGCGTATGGCACAACGTTACGTAACTTCAACGAGATTTACTGCAAAGAGCTTTGAACTCTTTAATATCATTCACTAAGTTGATAAAAGATTTGAAACGACTGGAACTCAACAATAAATTTTCATAGATAAATCAGTTCAAGATTTGACAAGAAATTTATGATCGACCGTGAGAATGCGACTTTTGAGACGTCTTAGCTATGTATTCGTATAAATTTAATCGCAAATCGTGAGGAAATCGTGATGTGATTAATTAAATGAATAAGTAATTGTACTCATCAATTAATAATTAATGAAATTATACGTCTCTAGAACAAGCATGATTTTATATTCAAGCGATCAAGGTAATTTGTAGACGGTGTGATATCGATTCAATCTTCAACCATTATGTTAAATTAAACTACCTTACTTTACATAGAATCAAAGAATGGATATAAAAAGTTGACAAATGTCGTAAATAAGAATTTTAGAAGAAATTCTTTTTTCGAGATTATTTCATACGAGTAATACATTTTATGCAGTTGCGAAAAATACTTATAACATATAGAAATGTGCAGAAAGATATTTTTCTTCTTAAAATACAATATTTGACTTCTCGTCTCGCAAACGTTATGCGAAAAATATAATAATTTTTTTTCCATATTTTAAACATAAATATATAAGGCATCGTCGAAAGTGTATATCATAACGCATAAGGCAAGCAAATAAAATGAATGGAAAACGGAAATAAAGAACGGAAATAAAGAATGGGTAAATAAAAGTAAACGATGAAAGAAATCCAGTATATGGAATATAAAATACGAAACACTGCAATTTCAAGCGTTAATCAATTGCGTGCTCTTGAAATAGCGATCCCCCTCATGATGACTGCTCTCGGTGTGCATTCCGACTTCGGTGCATCGGTGAAAACGTGGGTCGTGTTCGAGATATATTCTATGCAGAAAATGATGCGCAGTAAGCATCGTCCTTCCGCTATACCCATCATTTCCCCGCATGCCCTTTTCGGTCTTCTCGCAATGGGGAGAGATGTTTTATATTATGCATTCCTATCGGGCGGACTCGTGTCGCTGTTTACCCACATACGCACGTCATGTAATCGTCAACAAACCCTCGGGCAACCCTCCGCGACCAGTGGCCGTCCTTTCCCTCTTTTTCTCTATCTCTTTCCCTCCTCCATCCTCTCAATCCCTCTTCGGCTCGCTTAGATTCTCGATCCTTCTCTCGTTCTACCCCCTTCATCTGTCCTTCTCCACCTCGCGATTCACGTGACCGGGACAGTCTATTGATTCCTCGAGGGTAGTGCATGCGCCCTCGTGCACGCGATCTCTGCTGTCAAGGGGTTTGTACACGATGGAGGGGACGAGTTTGGAGGAAGTCCCGATGGAGGGGATGCCGACGAGGGCGGAAGTGGGACGATCGAGGAACGT